TCGTGCGACATAATCACCCAGTAGAGTCGGTAATTCGAGCAACCAGCGAATAATGAGATCCTCAGAGAAGCAGTACAATATGCTCCGAAATCGTTATTGCTGCTCTGAAGCATAGCACTTTTGGTTGGATGGGTACGTTAACAAAAAAAACTGTTACATTTGGAGTGATGATAATCCACCAACTACTGTTGAGAGACCGTTACATCCTCAAAAAGTCACCGGTTTTGGTGTGCTATTTGAGCAGCGAGAATCATTCAGTTCGTATTTCTTTAAAAAATGAAAATAATTATACAATGACTGGAAAAGGATAATTTCGTGCCTGAATTAGAGAGTATTGATGGTGATAACCTTTGGTTCCAACAAGACGGCGCTACATGACAAACAGTCAGCGAAAAAATGAATTTATTGAAGTAAAATATTGACGAGCGCAATATTTCATGTCGTGAGAATGAGACATCGCCTTTAAGATCATGCGATTTACCACCGCTGGGCTATTTTTTGTGGAGTTACGTTAAGTCGCTTGTCTACGCCTCTTGACGATTGACGTCTTGGAGGAGAATATTCGATGCGTTATTGTTGACATATTGTTTCAGTGATCGAAAATTGGACCTCTCGCCCGAGAAGATTTTTTTTTTTATTCAAATCAATTTTATAAAGTTGTAGAAATCGAGTTTTTGTGTAATCGATTAATATCGATATGGTAGTGATACCAAGTTATCAATAAAGAGGTTTTCAAAACACACAATGCAATTGAAAGTATGAATATTATAATCGATTGAAATTTTCAAACTCTCAATATTTGTAGTTATAAGTGAAATAATTAATTCATGAAAATTTTTTTTTATCGACAGTATATTGGTTAGTTCCAGGGATCCTCAACTAACATTTCGTTTTTTTAATATGAAAAAAAAAAACTTAAGGAAACGATTTTGTTTCGTATCGGCGCCACTGTTATCGAAACGAGAGAAATTGTTAATGTTGAAATCGCGCAAACTCATCATTAATGTTAATTTTAAATTGGCGGCCTGCTGTAATTTTAACAGCACACTTAAAATTTAACGTTTAACATTATCTGTTGACGATTTAACATTAACTGCTAAAACTAAACTTTAACTGTTAACACTAAACATTAACTGTTAACACTTAACATTACCGACAGCTTATAGTTTCGGGTAAGAACGAAGAGGAATTTATTTTGGCAACTTTTTTAACGTTAATATTTACAAATGATTCAACCGAAACGATAGAAATTTTTTTATTATTTCAAAATAATAAATATATTTTCCCGACAGTTGAGATCAATGTTAAATAACCTAATTTCTTTTACTATGCAAGAACATAATAATAATAAATTAAAGTTTTCATACTGTAACTGATGTCATTATATGGTCGCTTACAAAGAAAAAAATCATTACTTCATAATTTATCCTACTTTATCGCTTCCAATAAACGATTTGAAATTTAATAATTTGTCTTTGTCTTGAAATACAATTTCAATATTCAAATAATCAGCTAAGCTTTAAAAATGTTCACACACCATATAAATCTTATTCCCAATTCATTATCTTAGCAGCTTATTAAAATTCCGTAAATGTTGCGAAATTCACACTCTAAATACCACACAAATTAACCACATAATCATAGAAAAAGCAATTTAAATTACGATATAATAAATGATTTACGTACATATGTATGTGTACATACATACATTGTGAATAGCAGCATTATGTAGTCTATTACAAAGTAGAATCTACAGAATTTCAATTCGAAGCCCATTAAGCGCACGTACCACAAATTCAATCGAAAATTCCAAATTCTGCGTAACGCCTTTGCCATGCTGCTTTCGCGAAATATGTTAAACCCTTCAAAAGCCCGCATATACACTTACATACAGCCATACATACCTCGCAGCCAAAGCTAAAAGCCAACGAAATGCGTAGCTAAACGAGGAAGCTCTTCAAGGAAAGTAGTTTGTTTGTCTGTATGTAGATGTAGGCATGTAAATAGGCACTGACAGTGGGGAAAAAGCAATGGATACACACTTACCGACGCGAATTTCAAGTGATAACCATAACAAATCGACTTCCCGGCACAAATTTCATATTACAACGAAAAGTTGCCACAAATTAAGATGTCAACACAGATTCTCGCAGACTGTTGGTGGATAATTTTTATTTGTTGTTGTTATGGCTATTAGTTGGTATTTGTAGGCGGCGCGAAAATATTTGTTTATTATTATATTATTAGATACAAAATATACTGTTAAATGTACGTGTATGTACAATTCAATATTGTGGAGATATACAAAAATATATATATTTAGAAATTTTCACATATTTACATACACAATACATATATATGCGTACATATGCAGTAAAATCGTACGCATTTTTAAATAGTGAAGAGGTGTTGACGTCTGCTGTTGGTGCGTGTTGGAGAGCAGCACGTGGTTTATGGACTACAAAATTGGCAAGTGACGAAAATCGCAATAAAGAAAAAATGTGAAAAAATGCTTAAAAATAAAATAAAAAAGAACATGTTTTGTTTGTTAGATTTGTAATCGACTTTGTGGCACAATCAGTTCATTTATCTTTCAATGGATTTAGAGGAGGTAGGAAAATGAAAAAGTTCATACACACATTCATATGCCTGATGTCGATTTTTAAATTAAGCTGCTGAACTTGTTGAGCTAAAATCCCTAGGATAACTTTGCGAAAATTTCTTTAGGTGTCGCTTAAGTTAAGACATCGCAGAAGCCCATTTTATGTTCCGATTCCGTTTAAAAAAAAAAAATTAAAAAAAAAAAATAAAAAAAAATTAAAAAAAATTTAAAAAAATTTAAAAAAAAAATTAAAAAAAAAATTAAAATAAAAAATTAAAAAATTAAAAAAAAAATAAAAAAAATTAAAAAAAAAAATTAAAAAAAAAATTAAAAAAAAAAATTAAAAAAAAAATTAAAAAAAAATTAAAAATAAGTGAATTGAACCGTAAAATTTTTTAAGATTAAACCGACCGACACATGGTATATGAAACAAGGTAAAATTAAAACAAAATACTAGGTCAAGGAACAAGTCCATTATTTGTGCAATAGATGACTTTAATGAACTTTATCTCACGTTCTATAAGTGCGATAGTATTATGGTATATAGCCTTAAAAATATCATATATTTTACTACAAATTAAGTGTTGATCACTTAATTAGGACAACGCCAAACCACACACATCGATAGTGACTCGCCAAAAGCACTTTGAGCTTAGTTGAGAGGTTCTTATGCATTCAACTTATAGTCGGGACCTCACACCAAGTAAATACCACCTGTTCCTGACTATGGCGAATGATTTGACTTTGGTTGAAGAACAACAGCAGCCTATGAAAATATAACATTTCAAATTTTTTCCCTCTAAGGACCGGAGTTTCTATGAGAGAGGCATAATGATAAGGCCTTCGAATGGGCGAGAAAATATCGTGCAAAACGCTACATATTTGACATACGAGTAAATCGGATAATTTCAATTATGGTATATAAAGCCTTCAATTTAATGCAAAAATAAAGCTATTATATTGTGACGGAAATAAATATTTTATTTGCAAAGTTTATTTGCAGGTGGATCTAAAACAGCTATGAGATTTTATTATAGCCAGACTTTACCTTACCGTCCAGACTTTGCCTCTTTTGAATACCATTGGTTCGTTGGTTTATTTCGAGTGTTCTAACTGGAATACCATTCACGTGACTTGATTGATTAATACTTGAGGCCAAACCGAACTGCGCGGGTTGAAATCTAAAATTTCCCAGAAAGGTGTGAAATTGTTATGGCTTCAGATGAGCCTCGGATAATATTACTATTGACTTAAATAATCATACAAAAATTTTGGAAAAAAGGAACGCGTAAATCCAATAATATAACAACAGGGACCGGTTGGAGTTTCGGTGTTGCAGTCTGAATTTTCGGCTTCGTAAAAAATACTCTGGATTGATAACTTACACAAGGTATCATTTAATATATTTAAATCTGCAATGGAAATTATGTACCTATGTAGAACAGATTGTTGTATGATCCCCATGGCCTAATCAAAATCTTCCAACCACTCTGCCATGAATATATAGATGATTGACATCAAGCGATATGGCGATGGAGACAACTTAACAACTTACTTTCCTACCCTTTGGAACTTTCGGCTTAGTCGAATTTCTCTTATATATCGTGTGTCTTAAGCACTCCACTAGATGTTTTAAATTTCATGCAATACCTCCATCTTTTACAAAATAGACCGTTGAAGTCAGCTTGAGAAACTCTATCGTAGTTGTTTAATCATCTGAGGGACTCATGCTCTATGATTAATTAACTGACTGTTTAATTTTTCTGTTCTAAGGCAGCTTGGCTTGACGTACACTGGGTAACATTGTATTGGAATTTTCAAATTGTCAGGATCGTCATATTTCTTTATGATGCGAATAGTTCTCTGATTATTTCTAAGTTGAAGATTTTATTCGTGTCAGTAACGAGTTTGATGCCTGCGTTGAATCTATTTGGCTTCGTCCAAGGGTATTAGTGTCGCTTGTGCGTTAAAAAACTGCCCAAATAATCTCCAGATCAGGCTGTTTCACATTACGAAGATCTCGTACGAGTACGTCGATTCGCCGTTTGATTTTTTTGAATAGACTCACAGTTTCTCTCTTGGTAGTTAACCATACGTTTGCAGTCTGCTGGTAATCCAGGTGAACAACTGTGGTGAATTGTGTTGGCTTAGCGATAGATCACCGATCAGTTTGGTCTACGTATGAGTGAAATGGTGCGTTTTAAACGGAATACTGAGGCATTTCAATAACAGGAAAACCATTAAAAAAATATATTAGCCAATTTTAAAATAATTTTAAAGCAAAAGTTGTTCTCGAACCAACCGTTACATTCAAATTAATTTGGTCAAAACTAAATAACTTATGACTGTTACAAATAATTTCTGAAGACAATTAAAAAAATCATAATTTTCGACTTACCTCAATACACGACTTTACTTGTTGTTTCCTTGTAAGTCTGGTAATTTTAGCAAAGAAGTGCTGCAAAGAGAAAAAGAAAAATTAAATTAAATACATTTTTGTTTAAACAACCATATATATATACTTTAGTATAATATTTGAGAATTATATTATCTTATTATTGCTCAGTAAAATGATGTTTCTTATCTGCTAAAAGTACTAGCATGACCATTACAAAGATCAGCTACCGATTAGCTGGCAAAGTAAATGCTGACAAAACCGGTTAACCTCTTTGATGATGACTGCACAAATTTTTATTTTTTTTATTTTCAGTTTACACAAGAACTCAAGCCAGTCGACCATCAAAAAACGTCATGTCTTGCTGATTGGGCTCTCGAATTGCATGAAAATGATCCGAAGTTTCATTGAAAAATAATCTCGACTAATATGATCCACGAAATCATCGATCTTTTGAGGAAAAAGTTTCCCCACCGAGTTATCTCTCGGAGAGGTGATCGCAATCTTTTAATTTAACACCTTAAAATTTTTTGCTTGTGAGCCCGTGTGATTTAAGACCTCAAAGATAGAATTGGTGAAGTTTTTGAGGTCATATAGCCGCCACTTGGCGATTAGGGTCTGGAAAATTTGGCTGACATTATTTTTTTATCAATGAATCTTTGCACTGAAATAAACATCCGAAAATTTATCTTCAAAAATGTCACTATTCACTGAATATCAAAATAAAATCTCTTATTGGAATACCCTATGGAAGATGTTTTTTGTAACATTCACTTTTATAAATTGAATATAATTTTAGTCACTTAGATTATTAATTTTTGTTAGTGCACATTTCGGTTTTATTTCTTTTTTTAGATCAAGAAGTTTTCAGATTTTAATTTTAGGTTTTGCAGGGATTTTGTTTACTAATATATTTAAATAATTTTTTATTTTTATCATATTTATTATATCTGTACATTTTATGAAAAAATTTTGGTTAAATTTGGTGCTTTCAATAATTATTTTTGCAAACTTCATTTCTCGGTTGTATTTTTTTAATTTAAATTTATTTAATTTACTTTAATTTAAATGTTTTATTGTTTTTTCTTCTAGAATTTAAGGCGTGTTTCTTGGCCATTTATATAAACAGCAGCTGCTGTTTTCGTTAAATTTCAGAAATACGAGCTCAATAATATTGAAACTGACTAAGCAGGTAAATTACTCAACAAAATATCAAATAAATTTTAATTAAAAATCCAACTTGATATCGGAGATGGATTTAAATAAAAGCTGCCATTAATCAAAATTAAAAAAAAAAATTTCCAAATATAGTAAGTTATATTTATCTAAGCGTCTCTGAAACGAATTTGAGTTAATTATAAATTATTAGTTAATGTTATGTTATTATTTCTTTTCTTCTAGCATTTTTCGCCTGACAGTATTTTATATCTTATTATTTTTTTTAATATATTTTTGTTAATTTTTTTTTAAATATTTTTTTTTAAATATTATTAATAATTTTTTTGATATTTTTAATATTTTTTTTTTAAATTTTTAACAAATTTTTTAATATTTTTACACTTTTATTAACCCACCAGCAACAACGTTTAATGCCTTAAATTGTTTGCCTGTGCATGTGTATGTATATATTAAAAATATTAATTAGTGACATTCAACTTTTTGGCCATAAGCCAAAAAGCAAGTGTTAAACAAGTGTTTGTACACATGTAAAGCTTACCACTTGTGGCCAAAGAGTTGGAAAAAACCGACGCTAGCACCGCCTAATTCGAAACAAATGTGCAGTGTTAGTGTTGCCAATCAGGAAATGCAACACACCCCACATAATGTCGTAGCTAGACATCGATATTTGCATATTTGCTAATATGCAGCTACATACATATGTAGGTATGCATGTATATGTGTGTTTAGATTTACATTTGTGTATCTCCGCCTTTTCGCTTTGACGCGTTGTCTGGCTTAGGCGCCTCTCAGCGCTTCCTTTTCACTAATTACAACTACATCAATGGCATTTTTGTTGTTGTTTTATTGACCACATATAACCGTAGGTTATTGACTATATAAGTAACTAAAAATAAAGTAACTAACATATTTACAAACTTTCATATAGTCAATAAACTATTATCCTTTGGATCTGTGTTGTTGCTATGCTCACATTAAAATTGTCATTGTTTTCTATTTATTGCTGTTGCTGTTGTTGTTGTTGTTGGTGATAATATCACTTAATTGAATTTCGAAATGGTGGGATTAAGTCAATAATATTTATGTATGTATGTACATATTCTAAATTTTATACATGTAAACTGAAGGATTGTTCAGCTCACTTTTACTTCCATTTTGAGTTTTCTAAGCTCTTCCTAGAACAACAATTTAAAAAGGATTGACTAATTAGTTATATTTGCTAACTTATAATTAATTATTATTATAATTAATAATCATTTCCATGGAACATAGTTCGACTTATCAGTTGATTAATCAAAAACAGATTAACGAAAAAGAGATTAAACTATATGAGTCTCATAGTTTTTATTTTATATAAATACATATCCAAGAGCAGGACTTTTTGTAACCAAATTAATTAATTTACCCCTAAATAACATTATTATTTTTTAATAAAAGCCATTATTTACAGAATACCTAAATTAATTAGATTAATCGCACAACTGATTTAAAAAAAAAACTAATTGATTTCAGATTGATTGAGTTATATTAATAATTATTAATTCGTTCAAGCACAAATTTCATTTTTAATTATTCGTTTCAGATGTAACCAATAATTGCCTAGTTAATGCGATTAATCACAAAACTGATTTTCTTAAATCGATATTACTAACTACAACAATTTTTAAGATTTAATTTGTGATGTTTTTATCATTTATTAATCCGTTTAAACACAAAATTAATTTTTATTTACTAATTTCAGAAGCAACTAATCAGTGCCGAATTGGTATGATTAATCGCAACACTCTATTTTAATCAATATTAGTAATTATAACTAATTCTAGATTTGATTGGTGATTTTATTTTTTATTTGTCCGATTAATCACAGAAATTATAATTAATTTTGGATTTAATGTTTGTTGTTATTTTATCTTAATCCGATTAATAACAAAATTAATTTTTAATTAATAATTTCAGAGGTAATCAATATTAGTAATAACTAATTCTAGATTTGATTGGTGATGTTATTATTCATTAATCCGATTAATCACAAATTAGTTTTTAATTACTAACTCCAGAGGTAATTAATATTAGTATTTATAACTAATTACGGATTTGATTGGTGATTTTATTATTTATTAATCCGATTAATCACAAATTAATTATAACTAAATCTAGATTTAATTGGTGATTTTAATATTTATTAATCCGATTAATAACAAAATTAATTTTTAATTGCTTATTTCAGAGGTAATAAAAATTAGTTACTTTATTATTTATTAATTACTTATTTTGAATTACTAATTTCACAGGTAACTTATTTTTACTAAATAATAGAAAAAAATTTAAAAAAATATTTTTTAATTTATAATACTAATTTCGGAAAACATCATCATCATAACCTAATTAATTTCATAAATCAAAAATTAGTCATATACATAAATGAAAATATTTATTTTATATTAAGCTTGCTCATCCCCTTAATAGGTTGACCTAATTTACACAATCAATTTGATTAATAAACAAAAATAGGATTCCAACCCAAATGAGAGGCTGGCTTAAATCGCTTAAAAGGAAACCATGAACCCGGAAAAAGATTAATCCCATTGGCTTATCCATTTCCTATAAAAAAAACAATATTTCACAAGTCCCAAACTTGGCTTCGGAGAAACTGGCTTTTAATATTTGAGAGCGGATTGCAGCATATCTGACTACGTAAAAAATACTAATATTGTACGAGCTCACAGCGGGTACAGCTGGTACCAACCTAACGAAGACCAGGAAAAGAAATCCTAACACCAAGAGTCGACTCGAAGTAAGGTAGAAGAAATGAGAAATTTTTGAGATTTAATTTGTGATGTTTTTATCATTTATTTTTTATTTTTATTAAACACAAAATTAATTTCTATTTACTAATTTACAAGATGGGATATTATTTGATATTCATCTGATATTTATATTAACCTTATTATGATTTTAATTGCAAATTTTTTTACTGAATTACAACGATTTTCATATTTAAAAAAAAATGTATATAGCAATGGGAGTTGGGTGTGAATCTGTTCTGATTCCATCTATTTGCAATCAATTTTCGAACCAACTTTTATCAAAGTATTTCAACTCATACTTGAGTATAGTGTGAATAAATAGACGGTCGGACAGTTGGACAGACAGACAGACATGGATAAACTGTTACAGACAAATTCCATGATTCGATAAAGTTTCATACCTATGAGTAAATAAGTCAAAGGCCCTTTGAGGGTATCTAAACTCAACAGATTTTTGAAGTTAATACTCAAAACGACCTTGTGGGACCTTGAAGAATAAACAAAATAATCAAGAAATGAACTTAAATACATTGTAACTTTCGTGAGCTATCCCTATATAATAAGCACTTCGAAAGCGACAGACCGAACACCCTTTACTGGAATTGAGAAAAAATACTCAGACGCTCATAGGTCAAGCACAGTGCAACTTTCTAATGTATGCTTATATAAAAACAAATATACATACATACCAACACAAGTTTACGCTATTGAATTGATAATACAAATAAAGGCACAGCAACAACAAACAACTAAACAAGGCATGCAACACTTCAAAGCCACAAAGGCAAGCAAGCAAGTGCAAAGGTATTTGCTAACTAATATCGAGCAACAAAAAAATGGCAAAAATAAAAACAAATGCAATGCCTAAACCTGCTGGCGACCAGTGAGTGTCACATTCAACGATAAGTTTATTGAACTGTTAGTCAAGAATGTGCAGGTAGTCACAAAATATATCCCATATACAAATGTATGCAAAGCTAATAATACACGAGGGAAAAGAAGAAGAACACCATTGAAACAATTGCTTATGTTGAAAGTAAAAAACTGGCGAAAGGGGGCTTTTTGTTTGGTTGGAAT